ATTTCAGAGAATCCTTCTTCCAAGTCTGGTTCTTCAAAGTGTTTTTTGAATACATTGTAGCCTACATCCGGTACCCTCCGCACATCTCCGTTTGTCTGCGTCTGTCGGTAGAGATTCATGTGGTGCGCCAATGGCAGTGATGTTTGGAACCAGAAACAACGAATCGGAACTCCTTTAAAAAAGAAAACAGACTATGAACAAATTGCATGTTGCATGTTTGTGAGGTGTAATTTGTCAGGAAAAAAATAATAAGTAAAATAGAAAAAATAAAAACTCACCATGTTTTTTCGCTATGTTGATATACTCTTGTCTGACATGTTTAGCAGGGTTGGTATTATCAATAATAACACTTTTACCATTTTTCAAAGATTCGTCGCATGATTTCTTACATTTACTTTGTGTTCCCAATGTATCTCTATTGACGACTTGATATCCGTGCGGCACCAGGTAGTTTCTACTAAACGTACTCTTCCCAGATGCTGGGAAACCAACCATGACTATCATCTCTTGCTCCTGCAAAAGTTAAAAAAAAATGTAAAATAAGACCCAATTGTGGAACGGTACAAAAGTTAAGAATGGCAGTGAATGGGTCAATAGGAAAAAAATATCTTCAGCCCTGTACTATTTTTAATAAAATTGATTATTTATCAAATTTGATGCTCTCAGAATTAAAAAATATGCAGCTTGGGTCAATGAGCAATGATGCAACAACTTACCAAGGAATGATACTTTTCTGGTGCTTTTCCTTCGGCCATTTTCAATTCCACTACAGGGTCAGTTGACCTCCACTGAAACGGCACTGCCGCTTCACCCAGAAAATACTCCTCTGGTGTGTAGAACGTCAATCCACAGTTTGCTGCAAACATCCTATCGCTGCAGGAGAAATCTCTCGTCTTACCCGGTGCCCAGTCTTTATCTCGACCAGCAGCGTCACCAACATAATACGATTTCTTTCGATCTACTGCAATTCCATCATTGCAATTTTTCTCCATGTGGTCAAAAACCAACACACTTGGTTTGCGGAACTGGTTCTGTCCAGTGCACATAAACACCTGTGGAGGAGGGAGGACAAATCACATTATAAATTACTTTGAAAATTGAATAAATAAACTTCACAGAATTTCATAGCAGTGAATTTTGCATCAACGAGAAATTATGTTCTTGCAAATGTGACCAAAAAAGTAATATAATGGGCAGTATCAAAATACAACTCACTGTTTTGTCAACAAAGTAGCACCACTTATGGTAGTTTGCCATTACAAACTATTACTAGAAGAAGTATTATAAGCCGCATCCCTAATAGAAGTCGCACCCATTCTTTTTGAACAATTGAGAACCAAAAATTCACCATTTCTCATATGTGTAGATGCTCTAATAGAAGCCGCATCATTTCTGTTGCATTCCACCATTTTAATAGAAGTCAAAGCTCATAATACAGATTTTACAGTACATTTCATCTATCAATATTGCTTTTTTTGTTTGCAAACAGTGAGCAATATTGCAATACTGCTGGTTGGGTAAAATTGCTTTTTCGTTCACAGTACATGTAATTCATCCAATTTGCAAAAAACTTCAAGAGATAAAAATGCATTTTTTTTTCTACCGTCCAACTTAAACTTAAACTTAAAGCAAATTTGTAAAATACTAACAATTTTACAAAATATCTAATTCAACATATATATTGTCAACTGTAGTAAAATCCTATAGCATAGCAAACAATGTTCCTACCTGTACAGGGAATCCAAGTGCCACTATTATATCTTCACATTTTGTACATATTTCTTTCGGTCGCACATGGTTCTTCTCAATTCCAGCTTGATTTGTAAAAAACACAATCTTATAACCATCATTATGGGCTTCTTTGAGTTTATCTGGAACTTCATCTTCCCAAAATTGCCAATCGTTTGATCCTGGACATAAACAACTGTATATTTATTGTTGGGGAACAAAATTCAGGTCATTTCAGGTCATGTAAAGAAGCATGTATAGGGGGGTTACCTAATTGATTATAATAACATAACTGATGGGGGACAAAAAAGCCACTTTAAGGGTCTTATCTCTTCAATATTATTTTTATCCAATCTACAAACACCTTGCATACAATTTTTTTTTTTTCTCTCAGTGTCTGCTTGCAATTACTGGTATTTTGTATACTGTACTCGCCAGAATGACAGTAAAATATACTAGGTTTTTACCTATAGCAAATCTGCGACCACTATGTGTTTTGATCACAGTGCTGTCGATATCGAAAGCGGCAATTTTCTTCGATCCAGGAATACCGGAGCCGGTGAGCTGTATCACCGGCGACAGTGCACCAGCGTCTGCTTTAAAATTCACAAGTCTTTCGACCTTTTTCGATCCAGGCTCTGACCACGTCCAGTTTGCATCGAACCAAAGAGGACTTTGTTCCTTTATTTTCTTAGCCTCGGCGGCAGCGGACATTCTACCAGACTTTCGTTTTGACATATTTTCGGGAATACAGCTGCAGATACTTTTACTTCGAACAGTAATGAGTAGCTTAACTGGGATACTACGCAAACCGCGCTGTATTTTATAGATCATGTTTACATGAGTGCGCATGTTCAGATTCGTTACATATATGTAAATCCGACAAACGCGTTACAACAAGTCATGTTGGTGTGTTCTATTTTTAGACCGCACTATTGTGACGTCACTGGTACGTGCTTGAACACGCTTCTCGTGTTGAGACAGCACATACACCACCTCTCACTGTGTTACTATTAGTTTACAGTGCAATACTCATCACTGTTTCTAACACCATAGTGGACTGAATCTATCTAAATTGCCAAGTGGTTTCATGAATGCGTGATTTTGTTTATATACAATATTCATAAATGTTTATAAATTTCAAATAGCGATTGAAAACACTTGACCAATCACAAGCCTTTGCGGATGAATAAGTTAAACGTAGTGTTGATATTGCTAAACGAGGAGGAAAATCTTCAAAAATGTTCTGGAGTGATATAAGAAGACTAAATAATAATATCAAACAAACATGTATCTATGATGTTTTAAGCAATGGTAATCATATACTAGTAACAACAAACTAAAATATAGTCAAAATAACTTTAAACACTATTGGAATACAGCCTGGACAATAAATAAAGATCTAGGAAAAAAAAAGAAACAAATTTCCATAATCAAATTATAGAGGAACTGAGCCTAATTAGAAATGGTAAAATCAAACATAAAGACAACATTAATTTTCCAGTAATTAATTCTATTGATATAACCGAGGATGATGTTCACAATGCAATAAAATCTTGTAAAACGGATAAAGCATTGACCCTGACAACATAATTAATGAATTCATTAAAAATGGTGGGGAATCAACCGTACAATCCTTAACGGTTCTATTTCAATCATGTCTGAGCGATAGTAAAATACCAGATAAATGGAAAAACGGAGTTGTAAAACCAATTCATAAAAAAGGAGACATGAAAGACTTAAATAACTATAGAGGTATAACCTTAAACTCTTTTGTGTCAAAAGTATATGCTAAAATAGTAGAAACAAAACTAAAGAAATTTGTTGAAGAAACTGATTTACTAGGCGAAATTCAAGGTGGTTTTAGGAAAGATAGACGATGTGAGGATAATGTGTTCATTGCTTCCATGCGGAAAACAAATAATAAATCAACTTATGTTGCCTTCCTTGATTTTTCTAAGGCCTTCGATAGAGTCTGGAAAGATGGGTTGCGATCGAGTTTGTTTATGGAATACAGGAATCAGAGGGAAGCTATGGGATATAATTGCTGACATGTATGACAATGTTCTAAACAAAATCAATTTTAATGATATTGAAACAGATTATTTCAAAACTAATGAAGGGGTTAAACAAGGGTGTGTACTAAGTCCTTTACTATTCTCAATTTACATTAATGAATTCGCCAAAATGTTATACAAATCTAAACTAGGGGTAATGATTGGAACACAATTAATACCTGGTCTATTCTAAGCAGATGACATAGTCCTCGTAACAAATAAAGCAGTTGAACTGCAAAATATGTTAGATATTGCATCAAAATTTGCAGAGCAATGGAAATTAAGCTTTAATCAATCCAAATCCCAGATAATGTATTTTGGAAAGAAGTTACATAAAAAAGAAACAATTTGGAAATTAGGAAATTTGACACTTGAAGAAACTAAAACATACAAATACTTAGGCATCATTATTTCAAAATCATTGAAGGATCATTCACATTTTATGGAAACTTATAAAAAAGCAACGAAAATATTAGCATACAGTAAATCAATCATAAACCAAC